AGAGAGAGATTGGTTGTTTTAGATGCTAATTTTAGTATCTTTTGTAGTTTTTGAATTAATTTCCCTTTTCAGTAGATCATTTTGATTCCTTTTTTTCATTTCATTCCATCATTGGTCTCTGGTAGTTTAACAAAATTCATACATGGGCGCCCAATCTTCTTCTTTTTTAATTAGTTGTTTCTTTCTCCTCCCATCTATTGGAGGAATATTTCTTTTGCAGCTCCCTTGTAGATGAGAAGTGCTTACATTTATTATGAGAACCAAGTCAAATTAGGCTGCAAATTTCATTATTAAGGCATTCTCTGAAAATGTTTTAGTATTTTGATGTCACATAGCAATTTTCTTGCCTTCAAGGTTTCTCTCTGTTGGTAACTTTTTGTAGTAATGAAATGCCACTTCGATTAATTCTGTCCAGCAATTGACAATGTAGCCATGCGTTACAACTCAGTACTCTGTTATGCCAGAATTTGATTTTTACTCCTGGAAATAGTTAAGGATGAATTCAGGAATCCTCCATATTTGGTCGGTATTTGTGTGATGTAGAGAGAAGCTCTGATACCAATTGATTCAGGGAAGATGGGAAAGAAATACATAGATCAGAAAATGAAGATAAAAAAAAAGATGAGGGGTATCCCTCTCTTAGGGTTTGGAAGCAAGTCCACCACAAAAGGATCTCTTCACAAGACCCAAAATAAAATCTTGTTCTCTACTCAAATTTTTTTTGGTCTAGTGGTTACATATCTAGAGAAGAAAACAACGCTAAACCCTAACTTGTATCACCTAAGAAATCCTCATCCTCAGAGCCTTTTCGCAACTATTTGGGGTCGGCTACAACCCAAGAAATCCTAATCAATACTAAATCTTAGCCCTTAATCTTAAAATGAAGGAAAAAAAAAAAAGAGAATCCAATTCTACCCCTCAAATTTTAGCAACCAAATAGACAAAAATAACCCTAAAGAAAAGTAGAAATCCAAAATAACCCCAAACCTAAAATCTAGAAAATAGTAAAGCAAAAAAGTAAAAAAAATTAGTATATCATTCTCTCGGTGTTGGCAGAAGCTCGAGGACCTCGAGCTTATGGAATTCGAAAATTTTCCTTCATTGTCTTTTTCACTATGTTTCACCCTTTTCTTATCGAATTTTTGGTTGTTGGACTTAATCCAACAAATTTATGATATGATTGGAAAATTGACTAAAGGTACCTCGGTGCTGGTCCTGCCTGAGCAGGGTCTCAGGAAGGGGTGGGCTGGAAACGGTTCTAACCTTTGGCTTATGCACAAAGTGGCAGCTCTTAGGACTCGAACCCACGCTCTTGTGCTAGCTACCCGAGCCTTTTACCATCACACCAAGTGATCGATGACGATACTGAAATTTTTGGTTGTTTCCACCATTTGTTTTTCATGCCTCACAACCAAATCAACTTCTAGAGCATTTTGTGTTATGTGACAAGAGCTTGAATTGGTGATCAATTTTTTATTTTCTAGCTCTTCATAGTTTTGTTCCCCATATTGCATTTTGTCAGGCTTTTTTTTAGTCTCTCAATAATTTGATCCACACGCTCAACAACTGCATGGTTAGATGATTCTAATGGATCATGGTGTATGGATTTCAAGGCTCTGATACTAATTAATGTAGGAGAATCTCTTATATCAATTGATGCATGGAAGATGGGAAACAATTAAATAAATCATAAAACTAAAATCAAAATAAAAGGATGAGAGATTATACCCTCTCAGGGTTTGCAAGGGAATCCACCTAAAAAGATTTTTTTAAAAGACCCAAAATGAATTATTCTTCTCTTCTCTTCGCTACATTTTTGTGATCTAATAGTTACATAATTATTAGAAGAAAAGAAAGCTAAAACCTAACTTGTTTCCTAAGAAACCTTAATCAAATCCTGACCCGTCATCTTTTAAAAAGTAAACTTCTAATTCTATCCCTCAATTCTCTCCAACTAAAACATAACACAAACATCCCTAGAGAAACTTAAAAATCCAAAATAATCCTAAACCAAAAATCTAGAAAATAGTAAAGTAAAAAAGTTAAAAAACTCATTGCAACAATGTGGAATGAAAAATTGCATTGATTATTAAGGGAGATGTGGACATGTGTTTCACTTGTTGCGTGACCATTCACATTCCTCAAATAATACTGCTGCTTGCTGAGATGGCAAGAAACCAAGTTCCTCTTCTACTTTTATTGAAATAAATAAACAAGTTTGATGTCCCTACCACCCTGGTCTTATATGGGTCACTTAAAGTGCTTTATTAGTGGTCAGGGAGAGCAAATATATAATTTGATATCTAGGTCAAATTTATATGGATTTATCAGTGGTTTACACGTTCTTAACGTTGTCCTTTTGTTTTTCCTGGTTTTGCTCCACCCAGAATGGAGTGCCCAGGTTCACTCCTCTTTCGAATGGCTACTAAAATGTTTTTGTATCATTTCTTTCTTTATTTATTTATTTTCCCTCCCCACTTATTTTCATATTGACAGTCCAAATAGATTATGCTTCGTGATTGCATTTAAGATGCTTAAAGCTCATTAAATGCAAGAATTTATGTTTTCTCTTGTTGACTTCAAATAATTGGGATAAAGCTTGGATGATGATGAAGAATGTACGTTTTCTCATGCTGGCCATTTTGTGTTTCTTTGAACAATAAGATGCATTTTGATTTCTGGGGAGTATGATGTTGATGCATTTTGATTTCTGGGGAGTATGATGTTGATGCATTTTGATTTCTGGGGAGTATAATGTTGGCTATTTCCCATGCCCGTTAGTTAGTTTTCCTTGAAGAGTAAGCTGCTTCCTGATTTTCAGCATTGGTTTAAAACCATCCCATCATGTCATTGTTGGCTGTGGTTTTTAACCATGCCATATGTGTCATTCAAATCTATCATGGTGAACTCCACTCTATTTCTTCATTTGGAGATCATACCCAGTGTTTCAAAACGTGGACCGCCCAGTGCCTGGGCGGTCGCTTAGGCTGTCCAGGGGGCATGGGCGCATCGCTCAGGCCTAGACGCCAAAAATAGGTGACATACCCTAGGTGCCTGCCTAGATGCTCGGGAACCTGCCTAGGCCCTCGGGAACCTGCCTAGGCACTCGCCTGAACCCGCCTAGGCGGCCGCCCGGGCGGCCCTCTAAGGCCTGCACCCACCCAGGGGCAGAAATGCGGCTCCTTGAGGGTATTTTTGGGTCATTGTTTTAATACTAAAGGGCCGAAATTGTGGGTTTTAGGTTTCAAATGAACCTAAAACCCATTAGAGGCTATTTTAGAGAGAGAGTCCCCTCAAAAAAAATTTCTACTGGGCCTCTTAGGTTCTGGGCGCCTGCCTAGGCGTTGGGCGGCCTGGACCCCACCGACTGTCTAGGTGCTGTCTGGCGCTTTTTGAAACACTGATCATATCTTATTTGAATATTATATCATAGTAGTGTTCAACCTTGACATAGTGAACCTGTCAGTAGTTGAATAGAAAGCATTGCAATTTTACACTTTCAAATTCTTAGGTGAAATTTCTTTTACTTGTTTTGGAAACTATGCATTTTTTTTTTGTGGAGCTAGTTATCGATCTATATTTCCTATCTGAACTTTATCCAAAGCCTTTTTTTAACAGTCTGACTGCTTCTATAATGCTGGATGGACGGAGGACCTGCGGAAGGTTATTAGTCATGTTCATCACGAGTTTCCGAAAGCTCCTTTATTTGCTGTTGGGACAAGCATTGGGGCTAATATACTGGTAAGTATGAAATTTTGTTATTAGTGAAGCTTCAATTATTTTTATTTGTTGAAATTGGACAACACTGGCAACATTTATTTTCTTCAAACTTTTTGATAATGAGTAATGGCCACTAATTTGATGCTCTTTGTGGGATCCCTTGGTAATATACATCAATAGCATTGCTAATTCACATTGCAATTACCATGTTTCTCATTTTTAAGCATTACTATCTTAGTGCAGATCAATTTTTGTGGTTGGATTCATCATGTACGAGACTTGGATATTCTTTACCTGTTGGGCGATTGAATATCTCGAAGAGGGCAACTTTGTATGGTTCTTTAATCTATTTTTATAGGTCAAAATAAGAAAAATATTTGAAACTGCACAATGTTATTGATTACAGTGAAAGAAGAAAATACTATTCTGCACTTGCTGCTCGTTGCTCAAAACAAGTGAAATACTTTATCATCCAAACTCCATAAAACTTACACATGAGCAGTATCAATGTTTATAATAAATAGTTAACAGATAATTATCTCAGTTCTCTTTGCATAGATGATTTAATGGATTTCAGAACATGACCCGCACCTGATGGTAGTGCATCTGTGCGAGCCAAGAGGCCTTGGGAAGTAAGTGAATGCGATGTTCTTAGGAGAGATACGGCAAGCCATAGTTAACCTGATCTCCCAACCTAGGCGTCGATCCTACTTCGAGATCTTTCACTGGGATAGGGATATCCATGGAATCTCAATATTTTAAGTTTTGTGATCTTGAACCCCACCTTTTGGATGTCGCTTGAAGGGACAAGTAGAGTCCAAGAAATGATTCATTTGGATCGTAAAGGCAAATTACATACACACTCTCCCTATAATGCTTTTGGAGGTTGTAAAGCATAAACTTGTAAATAAAGCAGCTTAATATGCTTTTGGAGGTCGAAGTACGAAATGGTAAATAGCAGATTTCATCAATAACAAATCAGTTCCTTTGTATTGTTATTAATTATTCCAAAGTGCCGCGTCATAATAATTTTTTAATTATATTTTAGGGGATTATTGTTTTATAAACTACACCTCATAGGGACATAAAATATATTTATTTTAAATATAATGTAATTAATAAATACTTAATTTTTATTTCCCTTTTTATGCACACTTTTTACAATATTTAGTTGGATTATTGGATTTTTTTTATTTTTAACAAACTTTGCAATTTCTAAAAAAATGATTTAGTAATTAAAGAAATGTATGGAATGCACTTCTGACTTAGATAGGTTCTAGCAAGTGACAATCCCTTGCTCCCACTCCCACATGCATTGGCACTCATGCTCCCACTTTTAAAACTATGGGGCAAGCAGAGGCCCTTTTAATGTCAAGAAGCATATTTTGAACTGTGAAAGTTAGGTAACTCGAGCTTCAAGAAAGGTTAAGGGTGTATTTTGGTTTCATTGGAACTCTTAAATTTTTACAATGGAGACTCCAATTCTCCATGAACTGGTTATAGATTTGAGTCATTTGACATCAGCAATTTAATCGGATTCATGTGGTTGAAGGGCATTGTTTGGTCTCTCTCTCTCTCTCTCTCTCTCTCACTCTCTCACTCTCTCTCTCTTTCTTTCTTTCTCTACGAACTAAAAAATTGATTAAAAATTTTTTATAGATATTATTTTCATGTAATAATATTATTTCACTTCCTCTTTGTGTTGGGAATATTCTTGTTTGCTACATCATATTTATTGTGCTCATGCACTTATTTATCATTTTAGAATTTGGATATTTAACATCTCAAGTTCCCAATTTGTCCCCTTTAAGATTGAAGCAAACTTGTTAAATGTAGTAGTTTATGCACTAATACGCATCTTTATGGGAATAGACTCCACTTCTTTTGATTGATAGATGACATCTATTAAGGATATAAACATTTCTTGCACATGACCTTATTTCAACTATATCAGATGATATTATCATCATTAATTGAAATTTGTCTGAGCTATGTTAAATGAATAGTGTATGTCCACCATTCTTTGGGTTCAAATTGGAATCCATTAACCATGAAGTTTGAACCCTGATAACTTATTTCAGGTGAAGTATTTGGGGGAGGAAGGAGAGGATACTCCTATTGTGGGGGCTGCATCCATATGCTCTCCTTGGGACCTCGTGGTAAGTGTTATAAGCCCTTTTTTCTCCCATTTGTTCCATCTGTAAACTTATATTCGTTTATTGTTTAGTATTAACCCATTAAGGTTATAGATGTGATTTTTCATGTATCACAAAGCAACTTAGTCCTTTTCCTAATATGGTGTAATGGCTTTATATCAGTGAGTTTATGAAATGCGATACATGGTGGGACTTGTTCCTTATCTGCTTTTTATTTATATCTCTTCTTAGTGCCAGGGTAGATGGCTAAGTTTTAGTTTCTATGTGTCAATTGACTCTATTTTGCATGATACTCATCTCGTTCTTTATCAAATCAGATTATTCATCTTCTGTGCCAAATAATCATAATCCCACTAACTTCTACTTTTTAGATGCTGAAATATTTGAATTCCAAGCTCTAGCTCATTGCCTTTCAATTCTTTCATCTTTCTCTCCTGTCTCTCTTACTATTCTTCTCTCACCTTGAGCAATCCTTTCCTTCTCTCTGTTGTCCCTCTGTCTCCCAAAAACTTCGATTGTCTTCATTGGCTAAGTACAACCGTTATCTACTCATATGAATTATTCTTGGAGTAGATTTAACTTCTCCAAAATTCTCGTGAGCTAGAGCAACCGTAGGATTTTCTCTCTTCAAAACTGTTCCAAAAAAGCTCTGATACTTCTATTAGCTCACTCCCGTGTCCCCTGCTTCAAAATTTGATCTTATTCATTCCTTGTGAAACCCATGTCTAATAATCTTTTCTAAGTCTTTTCATTTCTTGCCCTAATTTCCCTTTCATCATGTACTTATTTTTATTTGATAAACACGAGTTTTCCAAAATTTTAATATAGCTCCTAAGTTGCATGCTTATTAGCTCTACTATCACCAAACTGTGGCTCCCTTTCTGCTCTTCTTCAGCCAGTATGAATGATGCAATGTTCTCATCATCCTTCATCCTTCTTGTTCTTTTCCTTAGTACTATTTCTTTGTCACTTACAGTGTGTGCGACACTCCCATATTCATTTTCTAGGAGCAACATCTCTTATAAAATCAAGAAGCATTAATGTGGACTCTCATCCCAACCCAGGTTCCTCATGTGCATCAGTTCATTTCTCAATATGGCATACTTGGCTCCCATTGACCCATTCTTTTAGTTTAACCAAGACATAGGGAGGAAGGAATTGGCGCTTGGCATAGGTGGTCAGAGTGGAGTGGCGGAGCAACAACATGACATCAACGGTTCCATTCCTTACTTATTAACACTTCAAAAGTGGAAAAGAAATAAAAAACAAGAATTAAGGAATATGTGCTTGCATATCTTTACTTTCTTCCTATAGTATAGTTTTACTCTGGTGAAGTTTTTAATGTTGGGATCATGGATAAGGGAACCATGGGTGGAGGGTGCCGTTCCTGCTCCGGAATCTTGATCCCACGGTTCCTCCTTGGAATCTCATAGGGATATCGAATTTTCATTTTTGGTACCTCGCTCTTAAAATCTCGGGATCTCACTATCGAAATTTTAGAATCTCGCTCCCAAAGATTTGGTATCTCGTTCCTAAAAATTTGGTATCTCGCTTCCAAATTATGTGGACCACGCTCCAACCATTAGGGGATTCCAGTGATCCCCGCTCCTATCAACTGTGGTCCAAGGTTTTGGTAATGTATAATCTTGGGATCCATATATGTGGAATCTACTTTAAAACAACCGACGAATCCATTTTCATTTGAAAATAGATTCCCGGATCCATCAACCATGCTCCAAGGTTTCGATACATTAATTAGGAATCACAAGTTCTATGATTTTAAAAATTTAAAATCCAAACCATTATTCTTAATTAGTAAAAAATCCAGTCCATTATTCTTAATTTTTCTATATTGACCCATTATTTTATTAGATTCTTTATTTATTCTTTGTTTGTATAATATCTAGTCCATTATTCTTAATTTGTCTATATTGGCCCATTATTTTATTAGATTCTTGATTGAACTAGACATAATGTAGACTAGAGTGACCCCATTGATTCAAAAAAAGAAAGAAAAGTTGT